GATGTCCAAATGAAAACGAAATACATCAGGAGATTTTTGTCACGTCAGTTATCAAGTGCGGTTTTTCTTAAAGATTGACAATTCTCCAGAATTTTGAAAAGAACTTTAGAGTTGATGATAAATGTCAAGACGAAATAACTAGGTAAAAGGTGTTGACGTCACACCTGCTAGTTTGTTATCATTCTTTTAAGGCCATATTCTTGATTGATGATCCGGTGGGCTCATGTTTCTTCCTTGAAACATTCTGACAGTCAAGGATACTTAAAAAGTATAAATATCAAATGTCATGAGATTTTATTCAAAGAGAATTAGGCTAAGTTGAACCGAACTCTTCATCCCTGAAAGATAAGAAAGAGAGCAAGTAAGTTATAAAGTTATGGTTATTATTGTAATGTTTTCGATCAAATGTGCTTATGAACTACAAACTTTCAAGACACATTCACTAATTAGTCGGTTTAATCTTATCTTTGAGATCTAGTCTAATAAATCAGTAGAGTATCTATAAAGCAATAGGAGGAGGGGCCGAGTGGTGCCACCTAATTGTCTAGGGGGTGGGGGCAACACCACCAGGCTTTTAGGAACTCAATGGTTTGAAATTTTATACTAAGGGGTGGGGGGGGGGGGGGTTGGGGTTAGGTGGCAAACGCCAGGCCAGACAAATTTAGGGGGTTGGGGGTATGCCTGTACGATAACTTAAATATTAAAGTTGAATTATTTAACAGCTGTGATTTATTAACATTAATCATATTTCGAGATTTGTATTCGAAATGCAAAATACATTGTGTTAATGTAACATTACGATTGGTCTTAAAGTTAAGGTTATTTCTCTCACATCGTTGTACCGAGATTCCCACACACACAATAATCTTTTGAAATGCAATCGGGAGATGATTTTAACCTATAAAGCTGTCATTTGGTGTAAGGATGGCTTCTATCCATGTTAATATATTAGGGCCACTCGATATAACGCGATATTTAATTAAATGTCTTCAGTTATATGATTTTATTCATCATCAAATCTTCAGGGCTTATTTTAACCTATCCAAAAAGAGCCTGTTTTATTATCAATGTAGGCTATATAAAAATATAACAAGAAAAAGTTTTCTCTGTCTGTCTTTTCAACTGCGTCATGTTTGAAGTAAGGAAAACATCAAATTATTTTAGTTTTCGAATGGACAGGATGATCCTGAAAGGATTTCAAAAACATCAAATTTCATATTTTTTTAACAATATTGCTTTTGTGAATATTTTCAATACATTTTAGGTTGAATGACGTTTAGAATGACGTCATGATTTTCTTTCATAGAATATTGTTCATTTGTTCAATATAATACATTCTATTTCTTTATTCTAAAATAGTTTTTAAGACACCCCTTACCCTATCTCCCAGAATAAAAAGAATCAGAAATTTTCTTCGATAGGTGCACTTTCAATTTGGTTATTAATATCTTGCAATGTGAAGATTAAATTATCAGACACTGGTCATGGAGTTCTGGTTCAATAGGCATTATGTTTGGAATATAAAAGACTGCAGCTGGAATTTGGTAAAGATGGATACTATTTGCGCTACTATGCAGGGTCAACAATAAGCAATTATCGATGGATAATGCACGGCGACTTACAAAAGTATAAAATACAAGGTTCGCATTTTATAATAATAATGATGATTTTTATTTCTTTCACAGATATGAAAGTCTCACTGCTACTTCTCGCACTTGTGTTAGTCTGTTTGGTTCAAGGTAGTGAAAGCTGGAGATTGAGAAGAACTTTAAGAAGAATTGGTCGGGGTATTAGAAGAGTTGGTCGAGTTGTTAAGAACGTAGCTTGTAATCATGCATGTCCAAGGCTCTGCCGACAAGGAGTTTGTAAATTAGCTTGTAATTTGGGTTGTAGAGGAAAACGAGATGTTACCCAGGTAAGACATCAACATAAAAATAATCTACATAGTAACGCTTTTTATCATTCAATCTTTCGAACAAAACAATAATGCTTTTTTAGCTGTTAGTCTTGAAAATAAGGAAAAATAATAGTTTACTGATCGGACAGCATGAACATTATACCAAACTATATACGGGGAAGCAAAAGTCTTGCCACCAACTTTATAATAGATATACATATTAAGATTAAATGTGTCAATCTTATTATATATTACAATTCACAACTATATTATGTTTATCCATCAATGTATGTAAAGAATGCTCATTTTGTTTTGAATAAAGCATGGAATTAAACTAATTTTTCGAGTGGAATCTGTCCATTTTACCCATCACCATAAAACAAAACAACTAGACAAGACTTTCATTCTATTTTACAGCAATTAAACCAGCAAGGTCATGTAACACCAATTCCCAATTCTTTTGCTGCCTACGATATGAATGAAGATGGTATTATTAGCAGAAAGGAATTAGCACTAGCTATTGGTGAAGATATAGCTCATCCTGATTTTATGAAAGCATACAGTATTGCTGATGTAGACGGTATGTAAATGTTGATATTATTGACAATTATATCAACAGAAAAAGTACATTCTATCGATTATCGAGAGATTTAAACCTGAATCACATACAATGAGATGCCATTCGTACTTTTTTGTGTCTTATTCCATGCATTTTTACTAAACAGAAACTCCACTTTTTCTAACTTTCTGGTTCCAATGACAAGGATTTAATAATAATAATAATTACCTTATTAGTAGAAGAAATTGGACCAAAAGCCTATCTTGCATTTAGGTCTGATCTTTACTGTACTTTTGTTAATTGTTACAGGTGATGGTGAACTTTCTCCAAAAGAATTTTACAATGGACCATATGTATTTGAAATGGATCTTAATGATGATGATTGTAAGTACACATGAATATAATTATAGATAATTCAGTAGTGGGTCAAGTGTTAAACGTGAACGTACCCATTTGCGGAGCGAAGAGGGGGGGGAAGAGAGGAAAGTTTTTCGGGCAAAAATCTCATAACTAGGTTAGAAATCTGGCAATCTAATGTATGTCGCCCCCTCGGACGTAAACCTGTATCCGCCACTGGACGTACCATCGATAGTATCAAAACAATCTTCCGTTTTTCCAAACTAACACTCACACAAAACGTCATTAAAAGTAGAGGATGAGGGTACCAAACATATCAATCCTGTGTCTTCTTTATTTGTCTGGTTTGCAATTAATAGAATGGTCTACTCCGTGGTGACTCAGTGCCTTAGATGTCTAGGGCTCGATCCCAGCATAGATCGAGATACTATATTTTCAACTCGTTTTCCCACTGTCAGTGATGCAGGTCGGAGAGACTGCCAAAAAAAGCGTCTTTTTGTTCGGATGGGACAATAAACCCAGGCCATGTGTACTGAACGCTGTACACGCTTAAGATCCATCGATAGTTGGAAATCGGAAGAAAAGGCTAATGTCACTGTCTGTCCTAGAAAAATTTCCCATTCAATTCATTTCCTCCTGAATTTGTCGAATTACGAGTAATGTATTAATGTTGGCGTTATGATATTTTTTTTTCAGTGGCCTACTGTAGATATAGGTTAGATATCGATGATGATTTAATCGATGTTATTGAAGGCGAACTCGTAAATCAAGCGCCTAATTTTATCGAAGGAAACCAAGTCAAGGAAACTGGAAAACCACATGAGATTATTTCTAAAACGGGTCAACCAGAAACAAAACCCATTGACAAATACGTCAAGCTGGCTGAAAAAACTAAAACTCAGTAATTATCATCAAATCACCACAGTTCATCAAATCGGTTTTATTCAGTTTATTATCTTTTCTACTGCATTTATAATTTTATTATTTGTTATATAAATAAAGAAATATTAAAAAGTGTCAAATTGGTTTATCAGTAAAAGGCAAAGTAAAATACGCCTACTGGCAGATTTGATTACGATACAATCACCAGAATGAAATATTCAACCTTAAGGTTAATAACTCCTTCATAAAAGTTTTTGATTTTTAAAAACATAGACAATAACTCAAACCTCAATAGGGTTTTAAATATACATACACCAAGTTTCGTAAAAGAATCGCGCCTTTACGAGCAATTGTTGACGGACGAACGGACCGACATGCGTGAAAACAATATACGCCACCCCCTACCCCCATTTAAAAATCTACAAACCGCAAAACTCATAGGGCAACTGCTTTTTCACACAGTTTTACTCTTTTCTGTGTCTTTAAATGAGGCATAATCTACACAATGGAGACTCAACCATTATGCATGTCCATTAAAAGGCAGATTAACACGTTAACATAATATTGACCCTAGATCATTCAATACAGTAAACGACATTCAGGTTTAATTAAAAAAACAAAGTTTTTTTAAAAACATAAGTCACACAACCACACTTAGTACCCTGTTAGCAATAGTCTTAAATGTCGATATCTTCACATACGTCAGTCAGAACGGGCAGGATTCATTAAAATGGGGGAAATAAACCTATCTTACATCATTGTTTTAATCTCACTGTAAAATACAGCTCGAATGTATAGTTCGTACACTCATGAAGGTGAGAAATAACCTGTGATGTCTGGAACTCGGAACTAACATTATTTCATGTAAGACTTACTGCTTAGCCAAAATATGTTACATTTCCTCAGAATAAAGAGTAAATAACCCAGTTTCTATAACAAATTGAAGGGGTCATTTCCATATCACACCTAAGTCCGTTTTTCCCTAAAATGAGGTTTTAGTATATGCCTAGATATTCAAGTCTAATGAAGATTATAATACAAGTGCACTAGCTGTATTTGTGATCGTTAGAGTTATGTCCCCTGTCAAAGGCAAAGTATTTCCAGTGTCATAACACTATAGGCAAACTAGGCAGCTGCCTTTCAGCCCATGGAAAATTATGCCCATCATGACAAATTACAAACAGTAAAAATTATAAAACAGTTAATAAATTTCCGCAGCCCCATCGCGAATTCGGCCTATAAGCCGATGAGAAATTTCTTCACATAAAACAGACTAAACTTCCTTATTTACATTATTATAAAGGTCTCGCAACCTTAGCACCTGCAGGGATGACCAGTTCTCATAATGGCATTCTTTAATGTTTCTGTGACCTATAAATTTTATTTAGTTTATTATCTCCCTTGAAAAAATATTTATTTGTTCATCAAACCTAGATGAATGTGTCATTTCTTGTCAGATTAGAGAACCTTTCTCACTTATTTTTGTTTTGTTTCGCTTGATTAGTCCCGAAACGTAGCTACCTTTACTCTTATTGTATCGACTTTTTATCTACCAACCTACCGTCTGCACGTTATCGTGTGATTTATTTTTCCTTGTTTACTAGTCGACTTTCTATTAAAATACCGTTTGATATTCATATTCCCTAGATTTTGTCAGCTGTCAGTTAGTCGCCAAGACACAAGCTTCGTTACCAGAGGACGATATGCTCAGCCCTTCCACAAATTTTTCAGTGATTGAGTGATTGAGTGAGGCTACCGTTTGGATTGGAATCCAGTCTGTCTCGACTTTCGGCTCAGAAGTTATAGATTCAGAAGTTTTCATTGTTAACTTAATATTGTCCTATTTTTTTTAAACAAATTATATGCAATTTATATATAGGGCCTATCCTGTAACTGATAAACAATATACATAAAAGTAATTTTACTTAACAGCGTAAGGTAATCATGGCTCAAAACCAGAAGGGCGGATTAGAGAAAGTTCTTAAAAGAAGCTGAAAGAAGCGCAAAAATAACAATAAGGATTTATTTGAGCATAATGGTGTCGAATTCATCTGCAGAGCGATCGCTTTCTAGATTAAAACTAATACAGTTTCCTACAAGGAGCGTGATGTGTGAGAATCGACTAAATTGATTGAGCCTAATGGTGATGAATGCCGATTGATGCGGATGATCTGGTTGATCTGTTCCTGAAAAATAGAGATCGCAAACTTCTTGCCATAAAATTGTAATCATACGACGCCCCCTCCCTAAAATGAGAAATTAGGCCCTCTACCGTTCGTTGGACTACGGCCAAACAAGTCCAAAATACGCCACTGACGTTACTTTATCTCATTAAGTGATGTCAGTATTCTGATCTATCTTTCGACTGGTTGAAAGAATCACCTTTAATAAACAATGGTCTTAGCTGAACTATCGTTTCATTGGTTAATAACCCTATTGGCTAATAAGTATCTCACTCGTTGCTATCTACTTGAGTTGTATACCTGTGATAAACATCACAGTTTGGATTCGTTCGTTTAAGTCTGTCATAGTCTTTTCACCCACCCACATCCTTTATTAAGGTCCATAGTTTAAATATGTCTTTTGTATTTGTGTTCCAGTTTATCTCTTATATAACTTTTATCTTCCTTCAATGATGGCACATACATCAGATAACTTTATTATGACATGACCTCTTTTTTGTGGCAAAAACGGCAAAATTATTTCATAAATTGTAATTTTTTCTTACATATTGTAAATATACGTTAATAATATTTATATAATATAATCCTTGAATGACATTTAGAAGTAGATAGAACATTATATAAATAAAATAAACACTATTATGGATATACTACCCCTCTTTAATTTAAGCAACGTTTCAATTCGTATACAGGAATCTTTTTCATTGCTTGAAACAGTGTTTTATTTTATTTATATAATATTTATATAATTTACAACTTTATAAAATTGTCATTTGTTATTTCGTTTTAAATATTTTAGATAACTTAGATAATCTACCACAAACAATAAAATCCAAAAAGAAGTTATCGTGTTTGTTTTTACCCCAATCTGATAAGTAGGCGTTTATTTTACTCAAATCCGTACAGTAGTTATCAACTCCCAGAAAGCATAACGAACTTCAATACCTTAGGTTTTTTTTTCAAAGCCCACGTAAAATGGGGGATGTATTTTGGTCACCTATGTCCGTCTGTCCGTACACAATTGCTTGTTAACACTCTAGGATGCACCATTCTTGAAGGATTTTGACGCAACTTGGTGTGAGTGAACCCTATTGAAGATCATAAGAATCGAAAAATATTTAGTATGAGGTATTGCCGTTGTTCTTGAAAACGCGTTCAATTTCAAGCCCTTAAACACCCTAGAAGGCACATATCTGGATGGATTTTGATGAATCTTGTTTTGAGTATTTGTTATCACCCAAGGATGAAGAATCGAAAAATATTTAGTATGAGTGGCCCTTGTTATTTAGACTGTAAAACTCCAGAAGGCCAAATTTCTGATTTCGACGAAACTTGGTAATATTTTACAGTATCGCCCCAAAATGTTCAAAAGAAGTTTATGACTGAAAGTTGAATATTTCATACTGGTAATTGTTTCTGTACTGCCAAATGTTTTTATTTAAAATCAAAGCTGCCAATGGGCGTATATTACCTTGCCTGACAAGCTATCTTAAATAGTTTTGGCACTTAAAAATTAACGACTGTATTTTTTTTATAGATACGTTAAAGGGCACATTTTTCTTGATTTTGATGTATAGTTTTTACAAATTTGAGCAACTGATACTCAATGAATTGTTTTAATTATTGCCCTTGACAGGGCTAAATGCATCAAATTTTGCCCGTGAATACGACAGAGTAGTTTATTTTGACCAAAGGTAGTTCGGTAGTTATCAGCATTTTATGATTGAAGGCTGAACGTTGCAATATTGAGACAAATAATAAATGTCTAGCTCAGTGGTGGCCACCGACTCAACTGACAGCAAGAGTTACACCTATATATATCCTTATCAATTTATGAGTCATGTGAAAACAATCTTCGGAAAATCCGTCGGATACGAGTTTCAAATTTTATTACAACCCTTGGTCGTGTGTTTTAAATACGTAAAGTCAGTGAATATGTTGATACTAATGTAAATACTGAATTTAATGCTATATGTAGTAAAGCCATTCTGTTTTATTCAAAATCAATAGTAATAGAAATGCACTAAGATGCAAACTTGGTGAACGCAGCCACAAAGTGGCTATATATCGTGTCTACCCAGATCTACCCTGCTATTTTGTTGTTGCGGTTTGGAAATATATCTGATACATTTACCAATATCTTTCAACCCTATCAGTGGATACAATCCAATTAAATAAGCTGTTTTGTCTTCAGCTCGTTTGATCACTACTGATATGCAATAATATCACGCCATATTTACAATGGAATTTACAATAAAGCAACATAATATATCTAGACTGTAACACAAATCTCCATAACTACCCCACGCTGTAATTTTCAATCCTCTGTAAATCAGACATTTCCATGTCAAATGCGGAAGAAAATGTAACATTTTTATAATTCTTATTTAAAACCTTGTTGTTATTATGCAAAAGAATCTCTCAGAATACGCGACCTTTACATAAGTAGTCTTGAAATAATAAGCTAAGTGTTGAATAGCTTGAAAAGTCTGGAGTAGATAAAAGCTTTTGTAAGTACAATGTGGAAACAAACGTTAAAAGGGTAGCTAAAGGCTAGTGACATACTCTGATGACTAACACTAGGATCTCCAAATTAAGGTTAGTAGGTAAAATACGACTAATGATAAATAGTAAGATGGTAATATCTTACAGGTAAATTGTTTTACGACAGCTTGTCACACCTGGTAGCAGTATTTATATATCATACTTGTCTGCCTGAATTCGTATTTATTGTATTTCCGGATCTATCATTTATATAATTTCACACATGAAGGATAGTATCAGTTCTGAGGTAAAGATTAGTGCATGGCTCACATGGTATTCTGGTACATTGTTTGATCTCTCACTTTTTCCACATACCAATTGTCATTCATGGACCTGAAGGCTGGTTACTAATAAAACCGGCATATGTCAGTGTATTTAAATGAGATCTTGCAAATCAGTTACACATACACAAG